TGTATGTGTTGCTGTATGTGTGGCTGTATGTGTGGCTGTATGTTTGGCTGCATAGCCGCCTGTAAGCCCGCTTGTATGCCCGCTTGTATGCGTGCTCGCGTGTGTGGGTGTGTGGGTGTGTGTGTGCGCGCAGGTCCTCGCATCCAGGCACACACGCGACCGTATAAAAGGATCCGAAGCTGTCTCCTCTACAGCAACTTTCTACCCTCTCAAGCCCCTCTCTCTCTTTCTCTCCTGACTCTCGTCCCTCTGGCCCTCGTCGCGCCAGCTCTCTGGCTCCTCTTTCAGCACTGAAAAATGCCCCCCAAGTCGTCTTTCTGCCCCCCCTGCATCCGCTGCGGCGGTAACTGCCCTCTCTGCACCAGCGGCCGGTGCACTCTCCGCAAGATCCCCGCTGCCGGCTACGGCATTGATTGCTGCAGCACCCCCGGCGTGGTCACCCACGCCCCCCTCCCCCGTGCTCGGAACCCCAACGCCAAGTGAGTCCAGCACCGGCTCGGCTTGAAGCGCAAGCCCCAATGCTGCTGGGCGCGGCTTCTGTCGGATCCAAGACATCCCCCAATATACTCCCCCTCTCAGCCAAGACCGAGGGTGCCTTTTCGAATGTCTATTCCTTTTCTCCTCCCTGGGCGTTGGTGTGTGTGTCTGTGGGTGTGCGGCAAATGGGCTTTTGTGCGGTGATTGGGTGGCCTGGTGCAGCTGGGGAAACTGGCCGGCGAGTATCGGCCATTCGATGGACCAGGCTGCCTCGGAGACGAAAGGCTAGGCGGATGCCCACCGGCGCAAGCCCTAGCCGCAGACATCCACCTAGGGGCGGACCCTCATCGATGATGAGAGGGACCGTAGCACGGCTGTTTGGGCCCTCCGCCGGGGGGAAATTCGCCAATGAGGCAGATGTAAGCGGACGGGAGGGGAAAGCATGGGCTCACCCCGGAGCTTGGGACTCCGCCGCGAGGCCCAAGGCCAGTGAGTAGGCGGGCAAAGCCATGCCGGGCCTCGGATAGGCCCAGTCCAAGGCGGGCCGAACAGAGGCCCCTCTCACGGGGACCCATCCCACCCGGGGGATTCCGGCGAGTGGGGCCGCAGGCACCGAATCGCTTGGACGACGTCCGGAAGAGCAGCCCAGAACCTGGTCATCATTCAGAATGGTCGCATTGGTGCAGTGCCCCAAGGCACTTGGGGTGCAAATGGCGCCTCCTGGCCGGGGAGACGTGTGCTCTTCCGATCTGGGATTCCGGCGAGTGGGGCCGCAGGCACCGAATCGCTTGGACGACGTCCGGAAGAGCAGCCCAGAACCTGGTCATCATTCAGAATGGTCGCATTGGTGCAGTGCCCCAAGGCACTTGGGGTGCAAATGGCGCCTCCTGGCCGGGGAGCTTGCGGGCCTACCTCCCACTCCCGCCAGCCGGATATCAGACGCTCGGGAGGCTGCCCCTCCCCCCCTTCCCGGGAGGACCTTGTACCAAGAACCGCTGGCAGGCCCCGGAGAAATTGGTGCTCGCCCCCGGCACATTATGTGGTGGCCTGGTGGGATGGAGCTGTCCTGCGGCTGCTCGGGACCCCTGGATTGTGGGCGCATTGTCTGTCGGGTGGACGGGCCCGAGGCACAGGATGCATGGGCTTCGGTGGGGACGACCAGCTGTCCTGGTCATACAGGGAGGTGGGCTGCTGGCCGGTGTCCCGCTCCTCCGCCACCCCTTCGGGCAGCACCGCCCAGGCCGGGATACCGCTTGCCTGTTGGGGGCGGGGGGCCAGGCCCCGGCATTGTGTGGGCAGGGCTTTTCCCCTGGAACCTGGGGGGGGACCGTTTAATTGCACACTCACGCGCGCGCGCGTGTGCGCTTCTTGATGGACGCGTCATTTTCCCCCGAGGCTTGCCTCGGTCGCTGGCCGTGACCGTAGCTGTGATCGTCCCCCGAGCCGGGGCCCCAGGGGAACGGCGAACGAAGGGCACGCTGGAGGCGGGGCTGCCGGTCCCCGGCCCGAAGGCCTTGGCTTAATGTGTCTGGCTATGGCTGCCCTCGGGGCTGGCCCGTCGGCCGTTGGACGCTGGCCCGCCGGCACGGCGGCACCCGGCCACCCGGCCACCCGAGTGCGGGCCCGGACCCACAGAGCGGGTCGGGGCGTCGACGCCCAACCAGAGCCGCACGGACCAGGGCCATGGGCGTAGCACCGGGCATTTATGAAGCCCAACGCAGCAGGCGCTGCCCCGCCGGCTGTGCTATCATCGCCCGTCCCCTGCCAAGCAGCTCCTCCTCCTTCCTCGGTCTCGCTCGTTGGAACCCGACGTTCATCTTGTGCCGTGCCAGCCACCCGCACCGGCCTCTGCCTTTGGTCACTGTGTACTCCAAGTGCCCACACTCCCACCAACTCCTCCGATACCCCCGTGCCCTTCGCGCCTGCAGCCCCGCCACCCAGCCATGGAACACGCCAACACGACTCCCGAATGGCTGATCGACATCCTGATGCCAGCATGCAACGCCCTCGCCCGGGGCTGCACCTTCCAAGTACGCACACTCGCCTGCATGCCGCAGCCCGTGGCCTCCAGGCCGGGCCCACCCGCCGCACCCCGCCACTCACATGCCCCCGGTTGGCCATCGGCAGCAACTGCTCGAAGGCGTGTGGAATAGCCTGCTCGACTCGCTGAAGCACGGCAAAAATGCCCTTGCCGCGCGCGAGGCCATCGTCTCGCGCATGCAGCTGCTCGGAATCCCGCAGGTACGCGCAAGTGCATCTCCACGCGGCGAAACGGGCCCAGAGTCCGAGAGCTGACAGCTTGCGCATCCCCCCAGGCCCGCGCGGAGGAGCTGGCCAAGGATGTTGTTGCCCGTCCGTTTGGCATTGTGTCGCTCCGGCCGCTGAACGCCAAGTTCCAGACCCTGCGTTTGGCAAACATCCCGGAGCGCTCGACCCCGGAGCCGGCCCAGGACGCCCCGCGCAAGTCGGCCCAACGCTCCGGCAACACGCTGTTTATCATCCCGGAGGCGCCGCCCCGGCCGCCAGTGTCCACCTGGCACCAGGCCAAGGCGGGCAGTACGTGCTCCTGGGCTGGAAATCGTGCCACCTCGCGCACACGCGCCCCGGCCGTGCCCGTCCCCGCTGACACCGACACACGCACCCACGCACACACTCACTGACACGCAAACACACACGTGCTTACACGCGGCCGAAGAGCCCTGCAACGCATACCTCATGGCGGGATCGTGCGAGTACATGGACACCTGCCCATTCGACCACAGTATCAGGCTGGACCCTGAGGTGCCGGGCGTGCCTGGGAGCACCTCCCTGACGAATGTTTCGCCCGGTGCGTCGGTGCATTTGTCTACCTGGGGGTGGCATGCTTGCAATACGCCCGCTCAAGCGTGTAGGCAGGCACGCACAGGCATATTCAAGCGCAGATACAGCCACTGACCCGACCCGGGGGGACACAGACCCCTGTCATACCTACCTGGTCGAGGGATGGTGCCGCTTTGGGGACGGCTGCATGTATACACACTATAAGACGCTGCCAGCGGTGGCGGGTGAGCCGAATGCGAAGACCCCGCCGGCGGTGCCCCGGGCGACTGTGCCGGCAGCCGCGGTCGTCCCGCCGGGGTGTGCGACGCCGACGCCGCCGGCCGAGCCGGCACCCCCGAACATCTCGGCGCCTGGGGTGGTGTTGAAGGCGGCGGCGCCGGGCAACCCCAGCCCGCCGCCGGCCCCCCGGACCGCCCGGCGGCAAAAGTTCGTTCCGATCTCGGTCGTGCTGGCGCAGTCGCCGTGGGGTGCTCGCCCGGTGGCGCGGCCGTCGGAGGAGCAGACACCCCAGCCGGCCCAGGCGCCGGTCCCGCCCTCCGACCAGCCCCACTACAGCACGGAGCCCGAGGCCGGTGACGGACAGGAAGGCCTCCAGGGGGAGGCCGTGGCGCCGGAGGCCCTGTCGCCGCTGGTTTCGGACTCGTCCGAGCAGGAGGCCGCCTCGCCGGGGCCCGGCCAGGAGGCCAGTCCCCCGCCGGCACCCGTCGACTTGGGGCCCTCCTTCACGCAGTTCATCCTGACGGCGCACCGTCGCGACAGCCCGGGGCAGTACCTGTGCGACACTTCGAGCCACATCGAGTACATCCTGGGCATCATGGAGGAGCGTCGCTTTGAGGGGCTCATCCCCCCGCTGTCGGAGCAGGAGTTCGACTGGCGGTTCTCGCCGTCGACGGTGCAGGTGCTGTATACGAAGTGGCGAACCCCGGTGGACCTCATGCAGCAGAGCTACAACGATCTCTGCAACCAGGAACCCCTGGACGTGGAGGCCATGGATCGTGCCCGTCTGGAGTTGGTGCGTGCGCGCTGCGGCGTGTGTAGTTCCTCGGCCCCCCGCCTCTCCCACCCATCTCCCCTGGGGCGGGAGGGAGGGCGGGAGGGAAGCCAGCGAACCCTTCCTCTTCCGCCCCGCTTCACGTGCGAAGCTGTCCCGTTTGCGGGAGCCTGACCATGCCTTCTCCTCGACCACTGGGGCGGTCCGGCTGGCATCGTGTCCATGTGCCGGCCGTGCAGCGGCTCGCCCGGTGGCAGTCAGCCGAGCAGATCTTCAGGCATCGCAACAAGAAGCAGGGCCTCGAGTTGATCCTGGACAAGACTCCCCGGGTGGCGGACTTCCAGGGGCTCCACTTGACGGAGGGTGCGCACTATGGCCAACGGGCATGGGCAGAGGCAGGCCCGGGGGGTCCTTTGCCATGTGCTTCCGCTGGTTGTCTGACAAGCGTTCGACATGGGTCCCGGGGGTCGGGGCGACCGGCATGCGGGACTGGGTCCGCCGGCCGGGTTTACCGCTGGCCCTACAGCCTTGGCTTACTTGGCCTTTGCCATCCAGCGACTGCAGCGGGTGGCCAACCATGCCGGGCGCTTCCAGCTCATGAACATCATCACCGGCTCGGCTCCGCTGTCGAAGTACAGCAAGGCTATCAAGCACGTCAATCGCATCCACATTGCCCTGGCCACGGATCTGCTGGCTCGCGACATTTACTTCCGGGAGGACCATAACCTGTCCTTCCTCTATCTCAGCTTCCGCGTGGAGCCACGCGAAGTGGCTGACGATGTCTAGGCCGCTGGAGGGGGGGGGGGCGGGCGCCGGGGGGGGCGCACCCATGTAAGCTCCATGCGAATACACTACCTGCACGAGGATGGCGCTGGGCTTTTTACCTCGGGCGGGCTTGGTGGGGGGAGCCTTGGGCCGGGGATGATGGGCCCCGGAGCGGTCCCTGGCTGCCAAAGGGCGTGGTATGGGGAGGCACCATGGGTGCTGGACCGGCGGGAGGGCTGCACCACCACCACCAGGGGCTGTGGCAGATAAACGGCGAGGCCGATTCCGCGCAAGGCGTCCGGTGGGTTACCATGGCTGTAGCTTTCGGCCTGGCCGCGTAGGGTGTTGTGCCAGGTGGGCGCCGGGAGACGAGGGGGCGCCCAGAGCACGAGGGACCGCGGCCATGGCCGACACCCGAGGGAGGGAGGCGTTCCCAGGTGGCGCTCGACGCCGGGAGCATGGGAGGGGGCGGGCAAAGGCCTTCCCGTGCATTGGCTTCGGAGCATGGCGGCGGCCGAGCCCGGCGACCATGGCCCAGGCCGTGAGACCATGAGTCCGAGCCACGGGGCCACTATCGATTGCGCGCCCGCGCGCAGGCCTGCTCGCTGTGCAGCTGGCTGTCTGCCTGCCCGGGAGCCCGGGGGTGGGCGCAGCCTGTGCCAGGGGAGAGGTGTCTCAAGTCGCTGGGGCAGTACATGGTGAGCCAGGATCGGGGCGCTAAGGGCGTATTTCGATTCGTGTTGTGGTTATGGTGCGCATTGGCTGACTATGGGCCAGGCATTGGTTTCCTTGCCATCGAGGGAGAAACAGAGAAAGGGTCAGAGAGCAAGAGAGAGGAAGAGCGGAAGACAGAGCGGGGGAGGGAACGGGAGAGGATGTGACAAAAGTGAGATGAAAGAACAATATTCGGAAGATCTCACAAAACATATTGTAAATATATATTGGGGAATTTTTGGATTTTGTGGTAAGTTTGAAATGAACGGCGCGACCATGTCACTTGTTCTGAAGATCGAGATTGTCCCTTTGCATTCTGGCCCCGATCCGACACGGAGCCAGACGGGCAGGGCCCTTGTGAGGGCGCAGGGATCGGGATGGTGCGGGGGCGGTGGGCCTGCCTCCTCCTCCTCCTCGCCGGGATGTCCGCCCAGTATGGGCGAAGAGCGGATCGCCGCTTGGGGTTGGGCTGCACCGCTCGCGCGACTCGCGCCAGCCAGCGTGTCTTCCCGTGAGAGGTCCTCAGCCCGTCTCGCCGAGGCAAGGACACACCTATGATTGTGGGTGAGTTTGAGTGTGAATATCGATGCGTGTGCATGCTGCCATTGGTCAGAGTGTCGCTTGGCTGCTTCGGCGCATCCTCCTGGGGATGAGTGCGGCGGCGCGGGGCGGGACCCGTAGCAAGGGGGCCGGGGAGAAAGGGGGCCCTGCATGGCGTCGGCCGACCTCGTGCAGGTGTTTCCTCGGCGGTGTGCGTCCCGGCTGGGAGCGACCGCGAGCGGTCCTCGAGCGGGCGTGTCCCCAAGACCACAGACGTCACCTCGAGGCGTCATGAGGGGCAAGGCGGGTAGTGGAAGACCTGCTGGGAGCCTCCCTGCGCGCGATCTGCGTGGGCGCCGAGGTTGCGCGACCGGCGCTGCTGGCCGGCCAGATCGCCGGTGGCCAGCCAGCCCCTGGCAGCGCCTTGCCTGGCAAGCATGGCTACGTGGTCTCGGCTGCTCTTCGGTGGGGGGGGGAGCCGGGCCTGGTCCGGCGGATCGGCGTGGCCTCCGGCGGCCGGAGCTCCTGGTCTGCCCCAGCCAGCGCGGGAGCGCAATGCTCCCTCCGGCACCCGTCACACGCACGCGGTGCTTCGGGGCTCGAGGTGGCGTTGTGCTGCATCCCGGGGGGATCCGAAGACTTGGGGCCTTGTCGCTCTCTCGTGCGGGCTCTGTCTCGCTGCAGCCCCACACCCTCGGGGACCGATGGGCACAGTGCATGGCTGCCCCGTAGAGCACCCCCGAGCGGATTGCCACTTTCCGTCGTCCCTCCTGCGGGCTCGGGGGATTCCCAAAGGCCCTTAGGGCCTGATGAGCCGGCCGAAGGTGCAGCCCGTGCGACACCGAGCGGGGAATGCATCTGAAAGGGGGTGTCCCCGAAGCGCGGGGCATGGTGCCCTCCCCTGCGCACCTGACAGCCGGGCCATCGGCTGTCCGGTGGCGAGTAGCGGGCCGCGTGTGGATGCCCGGGCTGCACGGCCGGAACATGTGGAGGTCAGGGGCTGAAACGAACATGAGAAACATCTGGGACGGGGTGTATATTCCATGGGATTGTGCGGGCGTCAAGGCCCGAAGGGTAAGTCGTGCATGTGATGGCATCATTCTCGGACGGGGGATTCGGTGCCCGACGCCTGCTTGAGGCACATGGTTCGGGATGCTGTCCGACCCCCCCCCCCCCCCCCGGCCGGGGCAGCTTGTTGGTTGTGCCCGGGTTCGTGTGGCGGTGGTGGGCAGGATGCGGTCCGGCGAGTGGGAGGGATCCTGCTTGCCTCGCCATTTGGCAGCCTATCCTCGAGCCGTGCTCAGGCGGCCGGGGCCCGCCCCTTGGGAGACGAAGCCTCGCAGCAGGGTGGCCACACCGGTCGAGCGAGCTGCCGGCGGGCCCCCGGGGCCCCTCGAGCCGCGACAGATGGGCGGCCTTGTCGCCGGGGCGGGCTAGATGTACAGTTGCTCATGCTCGGACAGCAGGGACGAGGAGGAAATTTGGTTGCTCGAGGAGGACCCTCGCCGGCTGCTGGGCAGGGACTTCAAGGGGCTGGTGGTGGAGGAGGAGAAGGAATATTCCGAGAGCACTTGACGAAGGGAGAAGTGCGGCTTCCGGCCGCGAGCAATGACCATCGACGTGAGGGCCGACCCGAGCAAGGCCACGATGCCCAGCCCGACACTCAGGCCGATGACAAGCCCCCATTTGGGCTTTTCCTTGGGGCTGCCTGCTCTCGGGCGCGTGGGCCGGGGGATCGGGCGGGAAATCAAGGACCAGCCGTGGATGGCGACGTGGGGACGAGGGGTGTTAGTGGGCGTGTGCTCGTTTTCCATGTGCGGCATCTGGGGGCACCGCCGGGGCGTCGAGCGTTGGGGAAATTGGAAATGGGCCATGGTTCTGATATGCGGGGGGGGGGGGAGCGCACTTTCGGGGCTTTTCCGCGGGGGGATGCACTCATCGGCACTCGGGCCAGTGCAAGTTTCACAAGCCGCATGGCAGGGGGCGCAAATGGAGCCGGTGTCGGTGTGATCGGGGAAGAAGCCTTCCGGGCACTTTTCAACACACTCGGCCCCATGGAGCAGGAAGTAGCCTCTCATGCACCTGTCGCAGTGGTCGACCGCGCTCGAGGTCAAGGCGATGCTGTCGAGAGACTGGTCGGCAGGGCCGGCCACTGGGGCGTCACACACCTCGCATTTGTCCGGGCAGGACCGACACCGAGTGCCCTCCTGCCGGGAGAAGGGCGGGCAGACACTGACGCAAGCATAGGCATCCACATGAAGGAGCCCGGTGCTGCATGAAAGGCATGCATCCATGGACTTGCTGCAGGTGACGCAGGGGGCTTGGCAGGGGCTGCACATGCGGGCGCTTGCATTTTCGTAGTAGCCCTGGGGGCAATATCTGATGCATTCACTGTTGTGGAGGAAGTAGCCGGAATTGCAGGAGTGACAGCTCATCTGGCAGATGTTCGATGTGAACTGGCAGGAGGCGCACTCGGGTCCACAGTAGTCACATCGGTTGGAGCAGGCGGAGTAGCTCCACATTGGCGGGCATGCGGCGCTGGTGGCGTCGGATGCATGCTTGGCCGTCTCCAGCCGTGCGATGGAAGCCGGAGGGGTCCCATCGCCCGAGGAGTCCGTGCTCGGGACAGGGGCTTGGCAAGTCGTGGCGAGCGTGGGGCCGAGGCATGCGGCGAGCAAGACCGCCCCGAGTGCTAGGCCGAAGGCCATGGCACTGGCGATCGAGCGACGGCGGGGCTCCATGGCTGGGGATGGGCGTGCCGGGCGGCGGCGGCGGCGAGGTGCGGGGAGTCGAGGCGACGGGTGAGGGTTCGAGCGCTCGGGGGCCAACTGCGGGGAGTGGCCATCTGGCGGTTGGGGCGGCGAGGCATGGGGCGAGCGTTAGCGGGGAGGGAGGCCGAGGGCAGGCCCATCTGGCGGTCAGGAACAAGATAAGCCAAGGGGTGCTTGTCCCGGCGGGGGGATGCCGGAATGGAGGACCTTCGAGGGCCGGTCAGCGGGCGGCATGCTCCGAGACCGGGGAGGCATTTCCGGCCAGCGGGGGGGGGGGGGGGGAGGATGGTTCGTGGGCCCTTGCAACATGAGTGCCGAAGAGCAGCCGGATGCGCCGAGGGAACCGGCGGCTGGGCCCCGCGTCCGGCCGAAGGCCACTGGCCCCCGGGCCTTGGGCCGGGCCTTGTCTGGAAAGAGGGCGTGCACCGGGCCCGATGGTGCTTGGAGCTCGGGAGCAACCCCACCTGAAGGGAGGCCGCGCGGAGGTGATGTGCTTTGGCAGCGGGCATCCCCCCCCCTGTGGTCTGACACGACGCTCTTCCGATCTCCGATGGTGCTTGGAGCTCGGGAGCAACCCCACCTGAAGGGAGGCCGCGCGGAGGTGATGTGCTTTGGCAGCGGGCATCCCCCCCCCTGTGGTCTGGAGCTGTGAGTGGGTCATTTGGTGGTCTGGCTCGGAAATTGTGCCCGGCACCGAAACGACGACGCCCGAGGGCGAACATGACCCCAGGCCTGCCCGAACGCATGCCAAAGGGGGGCGGGATTGCTTGGGTGCCCCATAGAGTGCCGGGTCTTTGTGTATTGCCGGAGCTAGATCGGAAGAGCACACGTTGCCCGGCACCGAAACGACGACGCCCGAGGGCGAACATGACCCCAGGCCTGCCCGAACGCATGCCAAAGGGGGGCGGGATTGCTTGGGTGCCCCATAGAGTGCCGGGTCTTTGTGTATTGCCGGAGCTGCTTGAAAAGGGGTGCACTGGGGCTGGCGCCGGGGGACATCCCTGGACACATGGCCTGCACACGACCGGCGGGTGCCGAGAGGCTGGGGAAGCCCCGAAACCTTGACCCCCCGTGTCCATCGAGAATAGCTGCTTGGAATGCCCGCTGGACGGGGGGGGGGTCTATTTTTCGGGCGAGCCCACCCTGATGATGATTTCCCCAGCCCCGCGCCTGGGTATGCGCTGTTACGGTGGAGGTGGCATGGGTGTGTCGGTCAAAGCACCGGATACTCCCTTTGCCTGGGGAAAGAACCCTGGGCATGCGAAGGGGCAAGGAGTGTGTCTGCGTGTATATTCATGAGGGGATGATCATTCGGTGCTGTGGTATCGGGCATTGTGCAGGCGCCGCCGAGAGCCGCGGCCAAAGGCCCTTCGAGCAGGGGAGCATGGTCGGCTGTCTGGGAAGATGGCCGTCGGATGCTTTGCCAAGCTACCACCAAATGACTGTCCAAGGGTCCCGGAGGGCGGGGAATGGTGGCCTGGATGTCCGGCCGGCAATGGCCGGTGTGATGCGTCGGGGTCGGCATCCGGCGAGTCGGCGAGGCGATGGGCGCGGGCCGAGGCCAGGGCCTGAGCAGGCTCTCGCCGGGCCGGAGGGCGCTGGCGGGGCTTTTGGCGTCTCCGGCTCAGGCGGGCACCGGGTCGGAGGGTGTGGGCATCTTGACGAGGGATCGCCAGTCTGGCAGGACTTCCGCCTTGTGGAGGATGAACACCGACACGGCGGCCGAGAGGCCCAGGAACACCAAGCCGATGGTCAAGCCGACGCCAAGAGCCACTTTCGGGTCGAAAGGGGTGGTTTCTAGGCCGGGGGAAAGGGCACGGTGGCCGAAGGGCGAGGCAAGAAGGCGACAAGCCGGCAGGTCAGTCCCAGTGCGGGGTATGTGAAGAGCAGCCGGTCGCGGGAGGCAGCAAGCGTGGCCATGGTGGCACTGAGGGGCGGATGGAGGGGTGGCTGGCCGGGGGGG